ACATAACATAGATTACGAAGAAATAGATTAAACATGAAAAAATAAAATTGTATAAATATATACAAAATAAAATTAAAACAGGTAACTCTTGCACAATTCATACAAAACGTTGGATATTATTAACAGTTAAAAACTTTATAGAATCAATTATGATGCTGAATGGACAAATAGGCCAAAGATGTGAAAATATATTAATCTTATTTCATAATAATTTTTTCTAAAAATATTCATACTTTTCTCTATTGTTTTATATTACATATTGTATATAAATTTATTCTTTTTGAGTAATTGTGTAATTAAATTTTTATACCACGTATAATTTGTTGTTGCTTTTCCATTACAAATCAACAATTTTAATTTTTGCTTTACTTTTTTATTCAACTTCGCCTTTGCCTCTAGGCTCTTTAGTTATTGCCTCTTTCATTTTGTTTAGAGTAGGATTTAGAATTTCCTCTCGATTTGTAGAAAACGGCGGTGATTTTACATATATAGATGTTATGTTTTTAAGACCTGAGTTTACACCTTGAAGGTTTTAGTATATTGCAATATAAAAAGCCTAATGCTGGTATAGCAATTTTTTTTATAAATTGAAAAATGTTTCTGCCTCTAATATTTCTGTTATATTTAAAGCCAAACCCATATTATTTGGGAAATAATTGTTTTCTATAAAAGACAAGTACTTTACAAATGCAATTATTTAATAAGAAAGCATGCTGAAGAAAAAGACTGGCAGAGTCAGGTCTGGTTTTATTTATTTATTTTGATTTTTATTTTATTATCTCAAAAATTTGGGTATGGTAAATGTTGGTTATTATTTCAAGAATTCGTAAAAAAAGTATGGATAATTTAAATAATTATAAAAACTGGCTTAAAAAACAAAGCAAAATCCTTGAAATATGTGTTTTTTAAAACTAGTTTAAAAAACAAGTTAAAATACTAAACAAGTGTTGTTTTCTGAACAGACCCTTATTGTGTAAAACAGTCCGAAATGTCTTGAAATTCAGCTCAGCTTCATTAATTTTTTAAATATACCTTAAAAGTAGGTCGAAATGCCTTGATATTTTAATTTTTTTTTAATACATCACGGCAGAATCCTTAAAAAATAGGCCCATACAGAAGTTAGTTCTTTCTCTCGTTAGCTTCATAATTTTTGGTATTTATGTAAGAAAAGAAAGTTGTGCTTATCGGATTAATCCACATTTCGCGAATCTTAGTGATTGGACATTTAAATTATTTATGAATCGACAATATTACACCTAAAAATAGACTGACGTTTATCTCCATCTGCTTCATAGAAGTTTCAAGTTTGGATGTGTTTTCCGTCCTAATTAATGATCTTCCATGTGAATATTCTTAAATGCAAACGCGTTATTGCAAACGTCATAGTTTATCGATTCAGTAGTCGCAACTGTATAGCAAAGCATAGTACCTGCAATGCGGACTGATGCTCGATTTTCGTTCTTCAAGAAACTACAATAAGGACTAGAATTGCGTAACAGCGTCAACTAAATACTACAACCATTTTTTTTATATATTTATATTTCATAAACGTTAAATAATTTTTGTTCAATGTTTCTCCCTTGTGGTAAATTACCGATCAACATTTAATGTTTAAACAGAAGAGAGGCGATTTTATTAAAAAATTTATTTTTATTGTTTCACACTTTATCACTTGGGTTTTTATGGCTCGACAGGGAACAGTTTCAAACAAAATTTCGTATAAATTTTTATTTAACTATTCATAAAATGAAAATAATTAAATTCAACCCATATGTGTTTTAGGTTTATTTTAAAAGCTTTATTATGCATTCAAAATTCAAATCACGATTGCTCATCGTTATTCATATTTGAGCATTTACATCTCTTTCATGTTAGAGAGTCTAGATCAGAGCCTGATAAAGGAACTGTCTTTATCTGAATATTTTAGTCTTAACTAAATCCCATATTTATACGAATACATAAAAGTTACTCAGACAGATTTAATATTTGAACAACGAACGGAGATAACTAAATTTTGCAGACCGGAACGGCGACAAATTAAAAGCTAAATATTTGATTAAAACTACCACTAAAAAGCCAAATTACGATAAAAAACATGTCATAAATAAGATATCGACAAATTGCTTTTTTTATCCTATACGCTAATTAATTCGTAAAACCAGATACTCATCTAAAATTAATAATAAATTTCACATTATGTAAACTTTGTAACTTTGAGTTACGTTTGTAGTTAACAAATCAATAAATTTCCCACAAACTTGCTTCAAAATATATCAATCTCTAAGAATAAACAGCGGCGTCGCGACGCCTTCACATGACATTAAATAATTGACTCGATAAAAACTACTTGGAAGTCGTGTCTCCAAATTATCGGATCTTTTACAGCTGTTATTTCTGTTATTGTAAAGGTAACATAATGCATCGATTACTTTATTCATAAGATTTTTGTAACTTCTTGCCTTTGAAGTGTTTATCAAAAGCAGTGCAAATTTATCAACGCTGTTGTTATTGTCTCTTTCAAACGAAAAAGCACCTTGTTAAATTTACATAATACATAATTAAATACTCCTCTTTTTGAGACATATTTTTTAAATATTTTTTGCATTTGTTGCGAGTCAATTTTCACGTAATTAAAAAAAGATTCAGTCGGTTAAATGATTTGGTACAACTTTCGGATCATTGTTTCTAATCTTAACATCGTGTCGATTATCCCAGCAAGGTTCTAACGACTTTCCTTTTTAGGGCCGGGATTAGAACTCGCTCTCGTGACGGCCTTCCTCTGGCCAAAAACCGCTCTATTTCCCGATTAATTACTAGCAAATCGTTCTAGTTTTAAATAATCGATACTCGACAAAAAGTCTATTTTCGAGATCGATTAGATACAAGCTTCTGATTTGGTGAAAATCTGGAAGCTGGAACTAGTTGTAAAACGTGGGTGTCTGGCGATATTTTCGTGACTTCCTGATGGCAAACCGCCGAAATTGGCCCATTCTATCGTCCACCGGAACCGCCGTTTCGTAAAATTGGCAAAAAGTTGGCGCTAGGTGATATCGATTGCGTCGAGTTGCGGTTAAAAATATGAAATTTATCGAAATGGAAACCGAAAGTGGATTAACAATTTTTCTGAACGTCTCTTAATATTTCATGAAAAAAAGCTTTGTCAGAGTGAATCGTAGGTTTGTGAAGCAAATTGCATTTTTGCTACTTAAACAAGAAATCGTACACTAACCTTGACCCGTTTTGAATGTTTTATTGTGTAAATGGGAAAGTTGCCAAAAGCTCGCTTCTCGATAATTCGGCTAAGATTCGAGCTTGACCGGAACGGAATTCCGACCTCCATCGATTATCCAACATAAGCGTTTCCACCTTTATTAAAATTGATTCGAACTAGTTATGACAAATGACATAGGTCAAGGTTCAAGCTTCAATACTAGTTTAATAAGCTATCGTCGCATTCAATTTTTAGCCCCTTTAAACGCATTACGCTGACTTTGATAAAATGTTAAGCAGATGCGGAATGATAAATTCGAGCATGCTTTAAATTTAATTCAAAAAATCGGCGAAAAGCTTCTACCAAATTGCATTCGCAATGACTAGGATTTACGTACTCAACTTAAACACACAAAAATAGATAGCCTTTAATTTATTTACACAGTTTTTGTGACAATTTGCATGAAAAGCACAAACAGCGATAATTAACCGGTTCTAATAACGTGTCATACCGATTCCGGTTCGTCTATTCATATCGATATAGTTATTTCCGATGCGCTAATTAGAGGGTTAAAGTTTGAATGGTGGTTTTAGAGCTAATAATAATTTTTGTTAAAGCACCCTCGTCAATCCTCGTCACGCAATCAATTTTATGCACAAGTATTTACTTGTTGTGGTGGGTTCCGTAATGTAAATCAATAACAAAAATTAGAGACCCGAGTTGAGCTTTGTCAACCAAAAAACAAAAAGTTTGTTCATGTGGAAAAATTCCGCAGGAAAACAGCAAAATATTTGAAAACTTTGCGATTATGAATAATATATTTGTTATTTTACAAAAATAAATTTGAGAGACCTTTTTATTCAGTTATTGAGTCTAATTAGAATATCTAAAACTAATGAAAAAATGCGAATAATTTAATTTCGAAAAAGTTTGAAAGTTATTGATGCGCAGGTCGCAGTGTTATTGTTAAAAAATGTGTAGTGGGTGTACACTTACCGGTGAAACCGTTGAAAGTAAGGGTAAGTATGAAAATTCCGAAAAAATGCGACATAACGAACCATGGATGTTAGTAAAACACCGATTGATTCATAAAACTGCGATATCGTGCCTCATGTAGCGTTGTTTTAACAATGACAGTTTGAACAGAACTGTGCGGCACGCGATTCTATCCCGGAAAGTGGTGAACAGTTTGAATTTTTTGCTAGACAGAGAGGGAAGAGCTGCGGATAGTAGGGATAACGCTACATAAGGCACGACGCTAGAGAACTCATATTTTTGATTTATTACATAGATCAAATTGGAAACGCTTGTGGCAGATATCAAAAAGATCACCCGGCGCATCCACCACAATTTTAACAACTTTTCTTTTACAACTTTGGTAAATTTTTCAAACCTGCGTTTTTGTTTATTAATTTGACACGGCTTTGTCGAGGTTACGTGACCCTTCTACTGTTAACACTCTAGTTAATTGAGCAATTTGCTTGTTAAGTACAATGTCAATCGCTAAATTCGTCAGTCTAGGGCGTAACGAAGTCTATTGGTTTTTAGATTATCAAAGGAAACTGTCTTATATAAGCAACAGTGCAGCAGTGGGCACCATCTAGTAGCCGGAAACAACAACCACTACCACTAAGACACTCACTTAAATTACAGAAAAAGATATAGAAAAGACATTAAACTGGTTTAGAAAACTACTTCAAAAACCGGTTTTTGACAACTTAATTAAAAACCGGTTCTTTTGCAAATTACCTTTTGGTTTCCGGTCTGTTTTTTTGTAAACAGGTTTTTTGTTTGTTACAACTCAAAAACGCTACAATTTTTTAAATAAAACTCTATAGTCGCATAAAATAATATGTTGTAACAAAAATTAAGTTGCGGTGCCTTGGAGTGAAGGCTGTGGAATTTGCTCGAATTATGTGAATGTGGCGCTCTTTCTCGTAGCCTTCGAGATGCGAGATAAAGGAGTCGTCCGGATCTGTTATAAATTAATTGCAACATGAATGAATTGTGGCTAAACGGTGATTAGTGTCGAAATGTTGTGTGAACTGTATCAAAATACCAGATCAGGTGTTGATTGGCGCAAGATTATGTCGATTTGATTGCTTATGAGGATGGTAAAAGATTGATAATTTGGGTCAGATTCTTTCAGTTACATAAAAGTTACCAGTATTTTGGGTGTATCTGCAGATTTTATATAAGATGTTTCCAAATAAAATCGAAGCAGGTCCTTCCTCATATATTTTCTAGTAAAATATTTGTTATAATTTATACGTAAGTCTTGATTTTATTCTGGGATGTACCTTGTAAAACCGCTCCGTGAATAAATGTCTTCTCTAAAAACCCTTTCTCTTTCCGCACTAGCTATATATACCGATCTTCACATTTCAAACTTTAGTTTCATCGCAAACCTACAGTTCTTCTTTTTGAAAATGTTTAAAATATTTTCAATAGGTAATTGATTTTACTTTAGTTAGTGCATTTAAGTGATTTGTTTGTGGGTGCATCAATTATTTGGAAATTATTCTTAAACTGCGACAAAGTTTTTGGGTAGAAACTGTTTAGGGCATCACAAAAACTTTTCTGTGATTTGTGTGCTTATTTAATATTCAAATCATCGAGCAAATTTCATCGTCGTTTTATGTATTATTAAAATGCTAAATTGACATTCACCTTGAATAGGATAATTTCTTCCTAGCTCATGTTTATGTAACTCTTACCGAATTGTTCGATCACGAGTTCACGACTGGTTTGGATTTTCAATAGCATAATATAGTTCAGTTTTGTTTATATATTTTCCTAAATATTTACATCCCGACTTTATAAAAAAAATGTGACTTTGTTGTAAATTTATATACCCCTGCTTTATTATAGATTTTGTTAAAACTAATGTTTTTAATGACAAATATGTTAACATTCTTATTTTTAAATCAAAATTTTATTTTTAAGCATAAG